GCTTTAAGCTTGACTTCACATGTAGAGGTGCTTCCTGTATTACTGAAGACTCGTCTGTGGTGCAGAGTTTACTTTCACAGCCACAGACTTCATTATCAGCTCAGACTGTGAACTGCACAGTGGCAAGTGTCCCTGTGTTTTTCATTTATCTTATAATGTACTGTACAAGGTACTTTGTCTTATAATGTACTGTACAAGGTACTTTATCTTGTTCTGTACTGTACAAGGTACTTTATCTTGTTCTGTACTGTACAAGGTACTTTGTTTTATAATGTACTGTACAAGGTACTTTGTTTTATAATGTACTGTACAAGGTACTTTATCTTGTTCTGTACAGTACAAGGTACTTTGTTTTATAATGTACTGTACAAGGTACTTTGTTTTATAATGTACTGTACAAGGTACTTTATCTTGTTCTGTACTGTACAAGGTACTTTGTTTTATAATGTACTGTAAAAGATACTTTGTCTTATGTACAAAGTACAAGGTACTTTATCTTGTGACATCATTCCCATCTCCAACTTCCAAGGTAAATTAACCGCGGCATAATAAGCTACTGTTAGCTGTTAGACGGCGAACGTGGTAAACGGTTTACCTGCTGAACATCAGCATGTCAGCTAATGTTAGCATGCTAACACGCTAAACTAAGACGGCGAACGTGGTAAACGGTTTACCTGCTGAACATCAGCATGTGCCAGCTAATGTTAGCATGCTAACACGCTAAACTAAGACGGCAAACGTGGTAAACTGTTTACCTGCTGAACATCAGCATGTCAGCTAATGTTAGCATGCTAACATGCTAAACTAAGACGGCGAACGTGGTAAACGGTTTACCTGCTGAACATCAGCATGTCAGCTAATGTTAGCATGCTAACACGCTAAACTAAGACGGCGAACGTGGTAAACGGTTTACCTGCTGAACATCAGCATGTGCCAGCTAATGTTAGCATGCTAACACGCTAAACTAAGACGGCGAACGTGGTAAACGGTTTACCTGCTGAACATCAGCATGTGCCAGCTAATGTTAGCATGCTAACACGCTAAACTAAGACGGCGAACGTGGTAAACTGTTTACCTGCTGAACATCAGCATGTCAGCTAATGTTAGCATGCTAACACGCTAAACTAAGACGGCGAACGTGGTAAACGGTTTACCTGCTGAACATCAGCATGTCAGCTAATGTTAGCATGCTAACACGCTAAACTAAGACGGCGAGCGTGGTAAACGGTTTACCTGCTGAACATCAGCATGTGCCAGCTAATGTTAGCATGCTAACACGCTAAACTAAGACGGCGAACGTGGTAAACGGTTTACCTGCTGAACATCAGCATGTCAGCTAATGTTAGCATGCTAACACGCTAAACTAAGACGGCGAACGTGGTAAACGGTTTACCTGCTGAACATCAGCATGTGCCAGCTAATGTTAGCATGCTAACACGCTAAACTAAGACGGCAAATGTGGTAAACTGTTTACCTGCTGAACATCAGCATGTGCCAGCTAATGTTAGCATGCTAACACGCTAAACTAAGACGGCGCACGTGGTAAACTGTTTACCTGCTGAACATCAGCATGTCAGCTAATGTTAGCATGCTTACACGCTAAACTAAGACGGCGAACGTGGTAAACGGTTTACCTGCTGAACATCAGCATGTGCCAGCTAATGTTAGCATGCTAACACGCTAAACTAAGACGGCAAATGTGGTAAACTGTTTACCTGCTGAACATCAGCATGTGCCCGCTAATGTTAGCATGCTAACACGCTAAACTAAGACGGCAAACGTGGTAAACTGTTTACCTGCTGAACATCAGCATGTCAGCTAATGTTAGCATGCTAACACGCTAAACTAAGACGGCGAACGTGGTAAACGGTTTACCTGCTGAACATCAGCATGTCAGCTAATGTTAGCATGCTAACACGCTAAACTAAGACGGCGAACGTGGTAAACGGTTTACCTGCTGAACATCAGCATGTGCCAGCTAATGTTAGCATGCTAACACGCTAAACTAAGACGGCGAACGTGGTAAACTGTTTACCTGCTGAACATCAGCATGTGCCAGCTAATGTTAGCATGCTAACACGCTAAACTAAGACGGCGAACGTGGTAAACTGTTTACCTGCGGTGAATTTTTTAGCCAAAACCTGTGTTCACACCACCCTTTAATTACTCTGGTTCATTAACAATTTCTCATGTGGAGCTCATTAGGAGTGAGCTTTTTCTGTTTGAAAGACAAACAGCTACTCAGTGCTGCACGAGTCGTGTACTTCTACTTACGAAACATTTATAAAAGGATGTAGGCCTAACACGCTCCAATACTGCACACAAGGCCTGCTGGTCCACTGATGTTCATGGAAAATTCTTGGCAAGTCTTTTTGGTTGAATCGTATCAAAGCATTTGTTTTAGCCTGTTTATAGTTAATAAGTTATGGACATGTTGATTTAATAAGTTAATGAAATGCAATTCACATTTTTTGTCGTAGCTGTGTTTTCAGCTCTGACGGTCTGACCACTAGTCTGTTGACTGATTTCAACAGCAGACAGCTGATTATAGCATCCATTGGTATAAATTTTAACACTTTCCTGAAAACATTTTTAAAGTTATGATATACCACCACTGGCACACCATCGGGCCTGTCGTTGCCGGGCCCCCGAGGGGTGTGGCCACCATACGTTGAGGTTTAAGGTGTTTTTATTCAGAAGTCTATGTGACCTGCAGAGGTTCAGAAGAATAACATGTTCACTAATATTTCCACTTTCTCTCTGAGTCCAACTTGACTTGTTTTCAAGTGTCTCACGTCTCTTTTTATTTTGGGTTCTGTGAATTCCTGTCACGTCTGATCCCAGCCGTGTGATTGGCTGACTTGGGAGGCGTGCGGGTACTCTGTCAGACAGCCACATGAATTAAACATCCTCCATATTTAAAACTCTCACAGCTCATTAGCAGGAATAATTATCCAGACAGAGCTCCTGTTAAAACCGACAAATTAAATCCATCAGGACTCTGAGTCATGGCAGTTCATCAGCTCTTTGTTTTTACAGACTCGCTCACTCATAAGACACATTTAACTTTATAACATGTCCAATCAATGAGCTGCCTGTCAGTCCACGTGGCTTTATGTAACTTACAGGGTTGTTTGTAAAAAGACGAGACGACAACGGATCAGCTCGAGCGAGAAAAAACAAACCTGCAGCACCACTTTTGTCTTCGTGACTCAAACACTCAGACCTCGTTCACACAGAAATAATCAAAGTATAAATGCATCCAAATAGCATTCAAGACAGACTGAAATCCATTGGTGGACAGAAACTAAGTACATTTACTCAAATACTGTACTTAAGTACAAATTAGAGGTATTTGTACATGAGTATTTTCTTTTCATGCCTCTTTCTCCTTCTGCTCCATCTCAGAGGGAGATATTGTACTTTCTACTTCACTACATTTCTCAGAGAAAGATTTTTATACACAAAACACACGAAGAGTTTGTAAAATATGATGTTTTGTTATAAATTAAACTCCCAACAGTTTCTACAAGTACAGCTATTATATTAGTTGATTGGCTTCTATTTTAATGACCGTTTAAGACGTTTTTCCCGTAAAAACATTCGAGGTTCCCAAATGTGAAGATTTGCTGTTTTTCCTTTTGATTATTTAAATGAATTTTTTAATATTTCTGAGATTTGGTGTGAAAGAACAAGCGCTGTGAAGGCGTCACTTTGGGCTCTGGGTAACTGTGACAACATTTTCAAAATGTTTACAACCGATTAATAAAAAAATAATCAGTGGATTAATCCAGAATGAATATAATAATCATTAATTGCAGTCTGATACAAAATACTTTAATACTTAATTTTGAAGGTGAATAAGAAATAAAATAAATAAAAATGTTTCCAACTTAAATTGGTGCAGAAAAATTCTGCACTGTTTAATGCTCAATATGTTAAGATAATTCAGCTTTCTGAAAGATCAATACAATAAACATCAGCCTGACTGTGCTATAAAAACACTTCTTAACACTTAAAGTTTCACAAAGACAAACCTTTGTTTTCAACACCGACATAAAGTTCTGTGTAGTTACTAGGGGTGTAACGGTACACAAAAATCTCGGTTCGGTTTGTACCTCGGTTTTGAAGTCACGGTTTATTTTCGGTACAGTAAGGGAAACATTAAATTGCTGCTGGTTTATTATGAACTCCTGTAAACATCCAAATTAGTTTACAATTTTTTAAACAAACTTCCAAATTACACATAATAAATAAATTATATAAAATAAAAAAGAATAAGAAATAAAATACTGCTGCAAACTACCAACAAGTTCTCCACTAAATAAAATATTCTCATTTCAACACCACATATAGCTAATAAAATATAATAAAAAATGTATAATATGGATTACAGTGCAGCATTCTTCTTCTTTTATTCCATCTATGAGCATCATCAGTCCCAGCTTGAAGGCCTGCTCAGATAAAAGTCTGTTTAAATGAAAGGAGTTTGCACTCTGCTCGTGTGACACCATTAGTGAGTTAGCAAGTTTGACGTGTGGCCAGAAACAAACCCGATCACTGCTGAGAAATGTCGGCCCGCTGCTTTCGTCTTATCGACTTGTCCGTTGTTGTATTTCACTGGAAACAGAAGTGTTCTCAAACAGAAGACCTTAACAAATAAGGAGGGTCTTAAAGCTCTGGCTTCTCTGCTCTGGTGATTAGTTAATACATGTACCGTTACACTTTGAGCTTCAAAACAGCTGTTCAGAAACCTCCGGGTGACGTCACGGACACTACGTCCATTTTCAGACTCGTGACAAGCAGAGACGAGTCTGAAATCTCATCTGGATTTAATCTGAAAGGGAACATTTGAAGTGAGACGAGGCCTGAAAACAAAGATAACCTGCAGTCAACAAGTTAGCAAAGTGAGCAGCTAACCTGCACCAGGTTGTTGTAGCTGCTAAACTGATAGGTGTGTGTGTGTGTGTGTGTGTGTGTGTGTGTGTGTGTGTGTGCAGATATCCCAGAGGACCCTCAGGCTGCAGATGTTTATTACAACCAGGACGGATTTGATTCCTGTTCAGAAGACGAAGAGACAGAAACACCCGCAGAGACACTTTACCTGTCTGACCCACAGGTGAGTTTGTCTGTCAGGAAAATAGACCATAAAGCACGGGATGTTTTCGGGCGTGGCTACCTTGTGATTGACAAGTCGCTGCCATGGTGGCGTACCAATGCGTATCCCTCCCCAGCTCCCTCCTCTCATCCAAATATGGTCAATTCTGCTTCCTAATCAAAGGAAGTTCTTTTTTATATTTGAGACAATATTTTTATTGGCGACCTGTCCAGGGTGAACCCCGCCTTTCTCCCGATGTCAGCTGGGATTGGCTCCAGCCCCACGCGACCCTGTACGCAGGATAAGCGGCTGACGATGGATGGATGGATGGAAACCATATTTATTTCTGAAGCTGTGCAGAGTTACGTAACATCATCAACACGTTCGTGTAGTTTTCCTTTTTTCTGTCCACCAGAGCTGGTTTCAGGTGCAGGTCAGCCAGGTGGGTTCATAGAGCTCCACCTGCTGGAGAGGCGCAAAGAGGACCAGTGTCAATCAATTCCAGGTACCAGCTCTAAAACTCGACTACTGTATTTTACTGCAGATTAGAGGTATTTCTACAAGCTGCGTTTACTGACAACATTAGAAAGGCTTATAAAATATGACGCATTGATATATATTAAACCAGCGGTCTGCAATAGGCGGCCCGCGGCCCAAAGCTGGTCGGGTTACTTTGAATATTAGAGTAAATCACCGAAGCACACGGGTGACGCAGTTGGTGCGTGTCCAACTCCAGTTTTGCCAGTTTTGCCAGTTTAACGGCGGACAAAAATGGTCAGTGCGCCAGGCGGGTTGTACTTAGTCTGTGAATTAGTCATGGGTGTGTTTAGGGCATAACGTGCAATAAACCAATTAGAGCAGTGGTTGTCAATAGGCAGCCTGCGAGCCAGAACTGGTGTTGATAGCAGAAGAAATAAATTAAAAAGAAATTGATATCAGCTGATGTCGAAACAGATCTCAGTCGTGACAGATACAGTTACTCACACAATCACTTCCTCTTAAGTGATTGTGCCTCCAAAATAAAAGCGCGACAACGTTGGATTCCCCTGAGTCTCTTCAGAGGAATGAAAATAAGCGCCAGTAGGTTTATTATTACAGATGAAACGGCGGGACGCGCACACACTGCAGCACACGCTTTTGTTCAACGAGGGAGAAAAAAGAATCCGCAGTATGTTGGGATCGATCCTTCAACCCTCCCAACAGGAGTCACACACACTACAAGGATTTGAAATAATTTGATTAAGTTCTGGCCCGCCATGAAACGGCTTGAAAAAAACTGGGCCCGATGCCAGACTTATTTTCCGACCCCTGAATTAGATTCCCTGCAAACTCAGGTGAGCTTGTACCTTGGCGCATTGCAATGAAAATGGCGGATGCCTCGCAGCAGAGAGGAAACGTCTGGACTACGATCAACCGGTGGCGGGTCACATCTCTCCCCAGCAGCGGTTTCATTATTTTGTGTTTTATGGCAGGATGAGTAACTGCGACGGCAAAATCTTTACAAACCAAATGATCGAAGGATCGATGGAGGAAATAATCCGCAGATTGATCCAGAATGAAAAGAGTCATCAGCTGAAGTCTGAAACTAAATAGTTGAGAAGGAGCTCCACAACTACAACAGCAGCTTTATATTTACTTATTTTATCTAAAGTGACTTACATTTGAGGAACAACATACAAGCATCAACAGAGCATCAATACAATAAGAGATCTACAACTGACAAAACATACTAGTAAGAGCCGATAGCACATGTCGCATCAGTGGGGTAAATACCTGGGGAAGGAAGTAAAAGTTAACAAAAAGTGCAATCAATACAAGAGAATTTCAAGGGGACGGAAGAAGAGCACAGGAAGTGCATGTCAGAGGTCAGAGGTGTTATCAGAGGAAGTGTCCTCTGCAGAGTTTTCAGGAGCTTCTTGAAGTTAGAGAGGGACGCCGCTGCTCTGATGGCGTGCGGCAGCTCGTTCCACCATCGTGGCGTCACAAATGAGAACAGGGACTGAGGTCGCTTTGTGTGAAGGGATGGCAGAGCCAGGTGGCGTTTGTTGGAGGAGCGTAGCGGCCCAGAAGGAACTTTAATGAGGAGGAAGAAGAATCTGATGACCACTCGTCTTTTATGGCACATATCCAGTATGTTGCAAAACAGCTGAGCTTATTAGGATTTTACTACAGAAACAAGTCGGGCTTGTCTTTTTCTGTGAAAGGGAAATTGGTGGCGTCTACCTCTTTGTGTTTCAGGAGATTCATTACAAACCGTGCACCTCTTCAGGTGGCCACACGCTGTTTTTGTGGATGTCTTTGTGAAAGTTTCTTGTAACGGAATAATCACAGTTTGAAGTGTAATCAGGCCCGACATTTACATGATTAGAGGTAATAATATGAGCCTATTGCTGCTGATGAAATTGGTGTTTTTTTTGGGCCTCTGTTGAATATCCTTGTTTGTATTTGGAAATTCTCTCTAATTAACACAATTTTCGCCTGGGTTATAAATAAAACAAATAACGTGTCTGTCTTGTAATCATCCTTTATGACTCTACATTATTTTACTTGCTCTGTGCCGACCAACCAGTTGAAATATGGAGTTTGTAGTATTGCATTTGCCCAGAAGACAGATTAACCTGTTGAAATAAATTTAAAGGGCCGATCCAAGCTGTAACAGGTAGTTTTTCACTTGCCAAAAAATGATTACAGCTTCGACCTTGTGAGTTCGATAAGAAAAAGTAAGCAACAAAAGTCTGTCCGGTCAGTGTGGAACTGCCAGTTTTTAATAACTGCAACATAGAACTGTTAACTTTACGCTGTGGGGGTTAGTTGGGCGTTGTCTGGGCAGGCGCCGCCTCGGCCTTTGGTATGTTTTTATTTATAAATCTTATTTGTCTTCTCTTTTAAACTTGAAATTTGGAAAATACAACCTCTGTTTATTTTTCCCAAAGTCCAAACTCAACTAGGAAAGAAAGCGTTTAGGTTTTCTGTACCTGCTGCAGATTAGATCTATTTAGTCCAGGTCGTCATCTTAATCTTACCCAGTTCCTCATGGATGTGATTTTATGTTAATTTGTTGTTGAAACTTTGTGTTGCTGCTTTCTTTGGCCAGGTCTCCCTTGTAAAAGAGACCTATGATCTCAGTGGGACATACCTGGTTTAATAAAGGTTCAATTAAAAGAATGCGATGATAAAATATATAATATATAATATCCATAAGCAGCGATTGTGTGGGTGCATGGGGGCCGCCGACCCAGGGCCCCATCTAGGTCGGGGCCCCATGCATTGCCTTGTCTTTTGCTTGTAGACGCGACCGTATGAGAGCTTTGCTTTGATCAAATGAAGCAGGCGCTTCACTCCTGGTTTCAACAGTAAACCCACAGACTGTAGCCTGTATTAAAAAAAACTATTATATTCTAAACAGACACGTTCAAAAAAATTTCAAACAAATGGGAGACTTATTAGCTAATTTTAACAAAACTCCCTTCACCGCCATGCATCATGGGAATTCTGAGGGACGGACTTATGGCGCTTTTCCATCACCGGTACCAACTCGACTCGCCTCGGTTTGGCCCTGCTCCGTTTTCCATTGCAGATAGTACCCAGAGATAGTACGTAGCTTGTCGTCATAGCGACGCCACACACAACTGCCGCGACGTAACGTTCAATGCGACACACACACCAGCGACACACACAGCTTTCTGTTTTTTAAGTTAAAACGTTTGAACCTTCCTCAGAGTGTAAAGACAGATAAGCGGTATGAAAATCTTCCAGCTGTGTTTTCCTCTGCCGTTGTTGCTGCAGCGGTCTGTGTGACGGCGGGAGCAGAGGGCTCTGTGAGCGGCCGGCCGGCCTCGCCACGTCGGCGCAGGCTTCCCCCGCAGCCACTTACGGAGCTCCTCAACTCCGACAATATTCAAGCACATTTTTGTTCCATCACTTCTCGTAAAACTGTCAATATTGGAAATGATGAAATTACTTACGAAAACTGTAAAATATAAAACTTCCTGTTGCTGGCCTCCGTCAGGTGCTCTGACCAATCAGCAGTCTGTCGTGTTTTCACGTCACATTTTAGTATCACCTCAGCTCGCTTGGAACCTTAGTGATACGACAAAAAGTACCTGGTAGAAGCTACAGGTCCAACTTTTCCACAATGGAAAACCAAACAAAGGCGAGTGGAGCCGGTACTGTGCGGAGGAAAAGGGCCTTTAGGCGACTCACCCTGAACTCCAGCAGCGCAGCCTGCCCCACGTTAATGACTTGTTTTTAATACGTCCTCTTTGTGTTTCTACTACCTTCTTCACAGCTCTCAGTGACCCGCTTTCGTTCTGATCATACGCTGTATATAAGATCTGCAGAGCCCACAGGGAGCTTTTCAGAATAAGAGCGTTTTCCTGCTGATTTTGCTGACATGTTTAGATTTTGTTGATTTAGTGATGAGCGCTTGCTTTTTGACCTTCTACTGTGATTAAGTAGCTACGCAGTTAAATTGTTCCTTTTCTGTCTCTTTAAACTGGGTCTGCGCAGGGTATTTTATTTTGAAAATGGCTGCGTATTCTCTCCAGAGAGGGGCGGAGAGACACTTCTGGGCGTGAGCACAAGCACTGACTAGAGTGGCCTCAGTGGACTTTCTAACTTGGTATAAATGTCTTTGTAGCAGGTGGGCCCCATGATGAAGCTCCGCCCCTACTGTGCTGAGAGTCTAGCTCCGCCTCCGATAATAGCACAACACTGCTTTAACCCTTTAACACAGACGCTCCACCACAGTTATTACACACACAGTAGTGTGGATGGGGCCTGAAGCCTTCATCCTCTGGGCAGCAATAATTAATCACCATCTAAGACTGGGTATCGTTTTAAATACCAAAAGCAGGTTTCGGCACCAAAACAATAGTTTTTTGACACTTAGAGATAAAAAACAGATTTTCATCTGAGCACTTTAAGGTAAATTTAAGTTTCAAAACCTACAATTCCATAGCTGAATATTTAAAATATGCCTCTACAAAGAACCTTAAGTCACTCTGGATGCTTGATTTCAT